CAGCATCCTCAAGGCCAATCCAGCATGTTTCCTCAGTTCCAGCAGCAACAGCAGCAGTTCTATCAGCACCCCCGACATGGCAGACCTGGATTTCCATCTGAGGAGTGGCCTAGACCTCCATACCAGCCTCAGCACCCAATGATGCCCAGTTCTTACCCATCACCATCCATTGGAAGTTTTAATGGTCGACACAAGGACAATAGCATGTCTCCACATGGCTCGGATGGATCTGTTGGGAGCTTAATGTCACCTAGTCCTTTACCCGATCGGTCCCATAGCAGTGCGTTGGAAAACAGAGAGGATGGCAGCCCTTCCAAGCAGGCAAGGAGTGAAGAGCCTTCTGAACGGTCTGAGAGCCCAAAGGAGATCTTGGACCTGGACAGCCACAATGCTACAGCCCGACATCGTACTTCAGTTCAGCCACACCCCAGTTTCCCATATGGGCCTCGAGGCATGCATCCCAGCATGCAGCAGAGTGGTGCTCCTCCACCCCATATGGTGGCAAGTGGGCCGTATTCTGGTCAGCAGTTTCCCAGTGGACATTTTGCACCACAGCATCCTCATCCACATTTGATGGAAGCTTTACAGAGGCCCCAGCACCTGCCTTTCTCTCCAGGCCAAACTCGCATGGCTATGTACAGGCATCCAAATGTTGCAGGTCACTTCCAGGGGATGATGGTTCCTCAAAGATCAGTGGTTGCAGAACACTTACTTCGCACTGGGTAAGAGATCTCATTTATCTCTCAGATCTTATGATATAATTAAATTGGATCCAGAAGAATGATCCACTTACACATTCATCTACATTTGTCTGTATAATGCTTTCACATCAATTTTCCTTACTTTTAATAACCCTTTTTCTTGTCTGATAGGCACCAGATGTTGGGTACAGCATCTCCCAGTGGCCCAGGTAATGAACAAGGAGTATGAAAAGTGGGATTTCATTGGAAACTCAAGGAAAATTAATACCTTTTACAACACTGTTACATCCTGAAATATACAGGAAAATGGAGACCACAACAAAAATTAGGAAGATTGTTGATGTGATCATTTGCTGAAAAAGGCAAGTTATTTTATCAATTGAAGTCCTGATCCTTAGACATGCTCCACTACCCACCTAGAAGACTTTTTTGAGACACTGATAACCCGTCCTCGTCTGGACTAGGCACTCCTTGTCAGTGAGGAGGGAAAGGAACAACTCGCAGTACCAAGAGGTGGGACCATTGACCAAGGAAAAGCTGTGAATCTTCAGTCCTGTTTATTGTTCCATAATACTGGTCTACAGCTTTTATTCTCAGCCTGGAATATCTCTTTGGCCTCATTCCCTACAAAGGAACAACATTTCTAGTCTCCTTTGCATGGGCTGTTACTTAGGAAGTAAATAAACTGAATTTTTTTCCAGTCCATGAGAATAGCAAGATGTGATTTACCAGTTTGTGTTCTGGTTCAAAGTTAAGCTCAGGTGTAGTAAAGAAGGTACTGAGACTACTGGAGCTTTTTTCAAGCTCAGTGGACAAACTAGACTCTGTTACCTTTGTGTACTTGTTGAATGTTCTGTGAAAGATTTTAGATGTAGTAGTAGTAGTAGTAACTCAATTTAAGGAATATAAGATTAATCTTCAGCTCCAATAGGAAACACCACACTTAGAGTGTTTTAATGAGGTGATGTTCATCTCAACTAAAACACAGTATCCACTTGATTTCTGGTGAGGTGCATTCTTTTAATGCCGCTTCAATTTAAAGATTGTCTTTGGCAGAGAACTTGGCTGCTCTATTTATGCACTAGGAATAGTCTTTCATACTGGAATTAGTGGCCTTGAGCATAAATTAGATTTGTGCTCCTTTGTATGGGACTAAATTCTAACGTTTCACTTGTTGTCTTGTTCCTTATTGATGTGTCTTGCTAGTTTATGTGTGCACAGAATGAACCAGATTTCAGATACTGAGGTAGCCATCTTTCACCTCTTAATATATCTACACAGTCTTCTAGAAATCCACGGCTTTTGGGATTCCTTGAAGGCTGGTTTATTATCACTGGCCATCAATCTTAAAATGTTTTTTTTTTTTTTACATATTGGAATGTATATTGAATTTTTGTCACAATTGACAACCAGCTGGAGTCGCAATACTAAAAATGCATTAGATGAGAGAATATATATCAGCCTTAAAACTGACTTGTAAAAGTACCACTGTTGCTCCTTTTATCAAATGGGAGAAATGTGGATGTGCTCATATTTTACATGAATGCGTCCTCTTTTAATTCAGTGTACTGAATGTGTCCTCAGGGTGTAGTGGTTTTAATACGGGTATTGTCAATAGAATATTCATTGAAAAAATTGCCATGAAATGTCACTGGTTAACTTAAATTCATCTGTGATCTTCAGTATAGACACAGGAACCAGGCAAGCAGTACTTGGGGTTAATGGTGTTTGTTACACTGTTCTTTGAAATTACTCTAATATTTGTTTTAAAGTTTTTTTTTTGTTTTTTTTTGTTTGTTTGTTTTTATTGGGGGAAGGAAGGATGGACTTTTCCATCATTTTGGAAAAGTTTGCTTTGTTCATTTTAATTGCTTCTACTATTGTCCTGCACTAAATGAATTGCTTTGAATATCTGCTTGTTTTTTTTATGTGTCCTCTTGGTCTGTCTGAATTACTATTTTACTCGGCTCTTGTCGACAAACCATTAAAAAGAAACCACAATTCGTGAGAATATGGCAGCAAGAATATCTACCTCATAATGCCAGAATGTGGCACATTCTCCAATCCCTTCACATGCAGAGATCTTTTTTTTTTTTGTCACTTGTTTGTATACTTCAATATCCTTTTTCATGATTTACAGCTTGATCCGAACATCAACACTATATATAGCCTTAATATGTTCACTTGCAAAACCGAATGGTAATTATTAATTTATCAGTACCAAGTTTGAACATGATTAAAATATCTGCATTCCACTTTTTGATTGTTGGTGTTTACAACCATAAGTGAAATGAAGGCAACATCCTAGGTTCAAATTTTTGCCCTCGTTGTGCCATTTTGTGGAGTCCACACATTGAAGTGGAAAAAAAGTTGTACACCTTGTACGAAGGATTTTACAGTGATTTTTGTGGTACACTGAGATAATTTTCCCAGAAACCTGTGATGGTGCAAAATGTCGTACAGTAATATTTCAGTGTTTTTGTGGACATGTGAACCGTTTATGTATTTTATGAACTAGGGATATGGAAATACTAGCAGCTGTGAGATGACATGGACATTGTCCACCATTTTGTATCAGTCTTTGCTAATAAGTGAAGATGTATCACTTTAGCAGGCTGTCAGAGGACTGTCCTACTCCTATGTAAAGGAATTATTTAGATGTAATGGACTACAGGAATGTGTTGGTTTTGCTGTGTACATATGTTTTTTATTTTATTTTATTTCACTTATTGCTGGGTATTGGGCAACAGATCTGTATCTCTTCAAATCCACCCTTCAACATCTCTGCTGTCATCTGTTCTGCCTGTACTAGTTAAGAAAGTAGTTGGTTAAATGTGAATCATATTTATTTGCTCTTATGTTTTGTAAATTTTTGTCTTTTTTTAATATAAATGTGTTCTCATGTTTGTTTTGAAACGGTTCACTTTACCTCAGTAGTGAAGATGGCATCCAAAACGACACCTGTAACTTTCATTATGTGAAGTTTACAAGTTCTTTCCTGACTGACATTATTATTTTGGAAATGGACCGAAGTATTTTCTATACTGTACATTTCTTAGAATAAATTACGTTTCATTAGATTCTGCTCTTGTCAATTTTCTGTTCAATTACCCTCATAAAAAATACATTGCATTATTAAAGGTGATGACATTTTTGATAACATGGCGTTTACATGGTGGTACACTAAAGTATTTTAAAGTCACCATGAAATCAAAATTGAAAATTCTTATTTTTTAATGGAATACTGTAGTGTTTATTATAATTTATCCGTGCACTTCATTATTTTTTTTACAATTCATGTGCCCTCGTAATCTCCCTCAAAACGACTCATCTCTCTCTCTCTCAGCTGAATGTAATTCCTACATTGAGACTAAAAGTTATGCCTTCTTTCTTTGCGTGAACATTAACGTGCCTGACACTCCCTCTGACACGAAATAAACCAATATCCCGAGTTATTCAGTTACTCCTAACAGTACATTGACTGAACTGCTAAAAGAGATGCACGAGCAGAGTAGCTGGACTGATCCATAATTATGTCCCCACTGGATGCAACAAATGCCTCGTTTATAATGGGTTTAAATGTTTTTGTCTTGTCGCTCCAGCTGGACAGGGCATCACAGTATGTTAATGGCTGTAACATTTCCGTCACACGCTTGAGGTATTCGGCCAATCACAACGCACTGGATAGCTGGCCAGTCAAAGCACACCTCGCTTTTCAGACCGATGAGCTTTGTAAAAATCGACGCATTTCAGAAAGGCGGGGCATAGAGGAGAAACAATAATGTACAGTATGTGGAAAATAATGTTTT